CAATTTATCCATTTGATTTGGGATCTTCAATGGCAGAAATAATAGCACTGTTGTCTTTGCATCCTCAGACCCAGGCACACAATCTGGTACTCAAAAAACACTTGTTGAATAGTTTACTGAATATAAATGTAAGACTCTTGGAAATATCTTGAAATCTTCCTCCCCGAGAAATGAAAACCAACACAAAAAGTTGAACAATTCTTAGAGCAATAAATTATTTAACATTATGTTATAAGCATTAAATTATACAGTTAAACCAAATGCAGCCCCTACACTGAAAGCTTCCTTTTCATTCAGCCCCACAAAACACACTGGGTCTTGGGCCCTTCCTGGTGGCACAATGAGTTAAAGCCCAGCACTATGAAGCTAGCTGCAGCCACTTCACCACAAGTTTAATCCCCAGCCAGGGAGGTGACCCACATGGCACAGCAGACCTCTCCTGTCTCATCTGCTGCTCCCCTCAGCAGTGTATTTCAGTCAATCTGCCTGTTCTGCTCCCCACTCTGTCTCTGGTGAACCCTCTCACCCCCTGCACCTCTGGCCTGTACCCCAGTTCTTTATGCATAAATAAGTAAATCTTTAAAAAAAAACTCACTAGGTCTTGCTATGTGCAAGCTGCTACCAATGACTCACCTGTCATCTCAAGAAACACACATTCTAGGAGAAACATTAAAATATCTATTGACGAAAATCCCTTTAATAAGGATGGGGGGAATAATAATAATGAACAACAATATACCAGAGACATTTAATGGGGGGGAAGGGAGCTGGTGAACTGGTGATGGGAAGTCCATGGGGATTACAACTCAGATGGAAATGGAAAAGACACAAATGATGTAAAAATAAACTATTATAATAAAAAAAATTTTAAGCCCCTTAATAGCTAGAGAGGCCCCCAAGATTTCCTTTATAAATATTATGGGAGGACAAAGGCGGAGTGGTAAAGATCAGGAAAATTTCATGAAGGAGAAGCCTCATGAAGGACCTGTAGACTTTTGTCAGAGGGCAGTGAAATTAAGGATTCTCCCCAGTCAAGACAGCTTGAACAATGCACGAGATGAGAAGGTCCAGCAGCCCTTTCGCGGGTCACCAGTGGTCCCACTGGTTACAGCATCGAGAACATAGAAGAGAATAGCAGTGGCGCTGAGAGACCCTCTGCTCCAACCCGCCAGTGCCGCAGCAGACTTTACAATTGCTTTTCACCCTGGCACGCCACCCTGAAGCCTCTGGTGGTCTGCACGAGCTCAGGCTGATGCAGACGACCCACCCACCCCACCCCTTCCCACAGCATCTAATTCCCTCGTGTCTGCTACTTAAACCAGGATCAGTTTAACACCTGCAGCCAAGCTTGCATTTTGCCATCATTCATACAACGCTAACTACAAACTATTAGGCTCACTGCATGATAACGTTATCCCCCAAAATCCTTCCCCCTCCAGCTCTCTCTTTTCCACTCAGCTTGTCCTTCAACTTCAGAGGCCTTGTGCACACCCACCTTTCGTGTCCTCACGGCTTCCTTTTTTCCTGAACTCAATGCCCAATGAAGTGCGTTATTTTCTCACCCACACCCTCAACTCCTTCACTGTCTCATCCTTCTGCGACACCCATCCTGCAAAGCCCTAACCCTACATCTATTCCACAACCCCCTCTCTTAAATCCAAAGACTGAACTTGTAAACACACTGAACAAAGGCATCCAGCCACACTATAAACATCTGTGTGGATTAGAATCACGGAAAACTAGCGCTTGCTCAGCTTCCACACTCTCTGCCATTCTGGGTCAGCTCCCCATTTACGCCTCCCTCTGAGAGCACCAAGCACCTCCTCCAGTCTCAAGTTCTCCATCCACTGCACCAATATCCTCACCTGCTTCCTGCATCAAGCGCTGTTGTAACTCACCGCAGCTAACTCACCCCACACACAGCCAAACTCTGAACCACAGGAATTGTCTTTAAACAAAGCAGTTTCATTTGAGGTGACCACCAAGGGAGTCGGCAGGATAGGCACCCCAAACAAGCGGCTCCCTGAATGGCAGGAGAGCTGGGATTTGTGAGTGGTAAAGGAATGTGAGGGAGTACAGGGTCAGAGCGCTGTAAGCAGTCAGGGGACAGGAGGGATGTTTGATTTCCCTGGAGTGTTTTCTCAGCAGTCAGCAGATGCTTGTGTCTGATGCCACCATCAACCCCAGAGGGGCTTGGAGAATTTTATTAGGGATGGAACAATTTTGCAAGTTCCTAGGAAGACAGGGAGAGCCAGTTAATGGCTAATCATAAAGAAGGAAGAAGGGATGCAATTCAGCGAGTTAACAGATAATGTCATCTACCTGGGACCTTCCTCTATCACCTGTATCCCCTCAACACCACACACCTGCCATCTTGTTTTCATGACCCCTCCACAGTCTGGAACCCACTCAATCTGCTCCCGTTTGCTTTCCCACCTTCCCTGCTCCATCGCCCCTCTCTTCACAAGTCCATTTTCTCAAGCAGTAGCACACTCCCTGCCTCGACGCTTCCTCTCCCATCTATTCCTCATCCACAGCCATTTGCCTTTGTCCCATCAAAACTGGTCTGTCCAACATCTCCCAGGATCTGGTTGCCAAAACCGCAGGTACCTCACAGTCTTTACCGTGCTGTGTCTCTGAAGCCTCCTTCCTGTCCACACTCCATCTGTCTTGGAAGTTTCTCCTCCACGGGCTTCAGGACACCAGAGACACTTCTACGTCTCCTGTCTCCTGGGTCATTTCTCTTCTTTCTCTTATGCGGGATCATCTTCATCCTTGTTCTTTAAATATTGGTTGGTTCACAAAAGCACAACGGAACACCATCAGAACAGAGACTTCACTGGCCTTGGTCTCTTCAGCAGCCTGGAGGCCACAGCTCCCCACTCCAGGCAGAGCCTCCTTGGGAACCCCTGAGCACGTGTGCAGGGTGGTGGGGACCTGCCGCCAGCAGGGCACCAGCTCTGCCCTCAACCAGCTTGCAGTTGGTGAGGAAGACACATGAGGAACCAGAAAATGACCGCTGAGTGCAGTGAGAATGACACAGAAGCAGCAATGGGATACAGGACATAATTGCACCAGCATCAAACTGTGGCCACACCGGAACCTCATTAGAGACGCAGAATTGAGGTCTTTATTGGAGGCTGGTCACACTGGCACAGGTCAGGCAGGAGCCCAAGTGCCAGAATCCCAAGTCCCAGAAGAAAAGCAGATGTAATGCATAAATCAGAACTTAAAGAGTTTAGGCTCAAAAATCTCAGTGATCCCTAATAAGTAACCTGCAGAATACAATCCAACTTTCCAAACAGAGTCCTATTTCTCTCCATTTTCATCTCTCCATTCTCATATCCCACACCTTCTGCTTCATGGTGACCACCCCATGTCCCAAGCCTGCTGCTCCCTGCAGCAGTGCATTTCGGTTAGTCTGCCTGTTCTGCTCCCCAATCTTCCTCTGGTGAATCCTCTCACTGCCCCTGTACCTCTGACCTGTACTCCAGTTCTGGATACATAAATAAATAAATCTTTAAAAGAAAGAAAATCTAAGGGTCAAATTCAAGAGAGAATATATTTTAAGCTCATAGCACTTGGCAATACGGGAATATTGCTATGGCGGGGGATAGGATTACTCACTAAAAGGCCCAACCACGGCTCTCAGGTTGGGAGATGGAAGAGAAAACAGATTAGGAAAGGCAAGTTGTTTCTTCAATGGCTGTGTACTGAGGTGCAGGTGGGCCCTGCTAGTGATTCGAGAAGGAACAGCTGGAAGGCGGGTTCCTGAGTGCAGGTGAGTCTGGTGCAGGCAGGTGACCATCTGAAGCTACAGGCCCAGGGCAGCCGCCAGCAGCCATTGCATAGAGCTCCAGCCACTCCCTTTCTTTGCACTCCCTCTCCGTTTTTGAAGCCCTCCAATCATTTTCTTTGACAGCCACACTAATCTAGGAAATAGGAAGGCTGTATGGCCTACTTTGGCAAATAAGGAAATGGAAACTCAGGGAAACAAGGGCTTTGCGAAAGTACTACAATGAAGACCCAGGATTAGGACCCAGCACTTCTGCCAAAACACACAGACAAATGTCCTGCTCTCTTGGGTCCATTGTTCATTTCAGCACTAGTGTGGGTTTCTTGGGGTTTTTTTTTTTGTTTGGTTGGTTGGTTTGGTTTGGTTTTAGCTTTTAAACTTGTTGGTTTAGAAAGAAGTTTGTGACAAGGTGCTCCACCTGGCACACCACCACAGGTTTTGTTTGTATGTTTTACCTTATTTTTTAATAAGGAGTATTGCTTTACATGCTTGTTAATTTTTTGACCGTCTAGGATTTCTCCCCTCAGCTCTCCCACCACAGCACCCACAGTCCAGCCTCTCCCACAGCCCATCCAACCACCAATGCTCATTAACTGCCTTCCATGACCTACCAACTTTCAGGAAACTTCGCCTCGACACTTTTTTAAAAAGGGGTCCTCCTGGCTAAGCTGGTTGAGCAGAATGAGCTCCTAAATGGAAAAGACCCAGAGACCTGGATGGGCGTTCCCGAAGATCATGGCACAAAGTTTTTTTTTTTTTTTTATGCATGCAGAACTGGGGTGCAGGCCAGAGGTGCAGGGGCAGTGAGAGGATTCACTAGACAGAGTGGGGAGCAGAACAGGCAACTCGTCAAAGTACACTGCTGAGGGGAGCAGCGGGCAGGTCAAGAGAGGTCTGCCACACCATGTGGGTCACCTCCATGGTCGGGAATCGAACTCATGCTGAAGTGGCTGTAGCTTCTCGTAGTGCAGTGCTTTAACCGGCTGCGCCCCCAGGGAGGGCCCCGGCACAAAGCTTTTAATGGAGATAAAATGGGTTTATCACTTCCAAGCCCACAGGGCAAGGAAAGGGTGAAGGCTGGGAGAGGACTGTGCGTTTTGGGTGAATTCACCCTGAAGCCGGCTGTCTGGCAAAGGCGGCCGCCTAGGACAAGCCCGGATCTGCCGGGCGGGCGGAGCAGTCGCGGGCGCGGGCGGGGCCGGGCGGGGCCGGCTGGCCGGGCTGGTCGCACCCTCCAGAGTCGGCCCGCTGCTCCCGTTCACAGCCTCGGCGCCTCGCAGCTCTCCGACACGGTAAGCCGGGCTCTCTGTGTGTTTTCCGCTCTAATGACAAGAAAAAGGCGGCAGCCTAGTTTCCACCAGACTTGATCTTTGACTTTTTGACTTATGTAGGTGGAAGTGGCAGGAAACAGAGCCGGAAAATTAACCATGGGGTGGGAATTAGGGAAGAAAGGGTGGAAGGAAGAAGCCCTAAAATTACACTTTAATAACAGCCTAGCTGCGGCCGCGAAAACCTGCCTAACATCTGGAACAGATAAGGTGTTGGGGCGCGGAGGATGGAAGCGCGGGGCGCCCCGGCCCGCTACGCCCCACTGCGCCCGGGCCCGCTGCGCCCCAGCCTGGAATGGGGCGCGTCGCGGGTCCCGCCGGAACCGGGAGTCCCTCGCCACCCGGAGGCCAAAGGGACCCTTGCTGGCCGTTTTGTAGGCCAGCAAGGGCACACTGCGGAACTTAGTCGTGTGAGCGCTCGGGAAAGCCAGAGTTTCGGTAAAGCAATCGGCAAAGGGCCAGGACCAGGCGCTGAAACTTCGAGCGGAAACGCTGCCAAGAATGTGGGAGGAGCCGCCCTGACCGAGCCCTCTCTTCCCCTTCCCTCTCATCCCACCATCTTCTGCGGCACCCACGCAGTCGCCCTTTGCTTTCCGCTCAGGCTCGGCTCTCCCCTCCTCTCGTTGAGTTCGCTTTTCAACTTTTCCTTGAAGCCACCTCTATAACTATCTCGCCCTGGCCTCTTTAGTAAAAGGAGTCAGCATACTTCCCCCGCTGGCCAAATAGGGTTTTCTTGTGCCCACATCACAAATGGATTTTACATGTTTAAAGGGTGGAGAGAAAAGAAAAGGGAGTGTAATATTCGGGACAGTTGAAAATCATGTGCACATCAAACTTCGGTGTCCATAAATTCGGTGTGAGTGGCTCTCGGCCACGTCCATTCATTCTTGTGTTGCTGTGGTTGCTATCCTTGCAAGACCGCAGAGAGGCTGAGACCGAAATATTTACCAGCTGGCCTTCTACAAAGTGCGTTTGCCAGTCTCTACTTTAGGGTGTCGGCCTGTTCCCCGCCTACTCCACTACTTCTCCTTCTTCGAAAAAAGGGAGAAGCAGTGTGACTTGGCACCTTGAAAAGGCAGCTCAGGCCCCAGGGAGGAGAAGCCCTGGAAAAAGGTGGGGCCTTGGGAGGAAAGAGAGTGTGGTGTGTTAAGAATAAGAACCGCAATACTTGAGCCTTTTTCCAAGTGTTACTTTTTTTTTCTTTCCTCAAATGTTGAATGTTTAACTGCATTTTTAAACGTCTTTCACAGTAACCATGTATCTTGCTGCTTTCTCCTTCCTATAATGGTTCTCACAAACACGGCTCCAAAATGCAGTCAGGTGTGGGGAGCAGGCAGGTGTGGAGGTAGCTACCTCCACGCAGGAGACCTTCGTCTCCTCTCCTGTACCCCAAAGCTCTCCCACCTCTGGGCCTGCCTTCCTGGGAACTGTTTCAAAGTCCCCTCAAGCTCTACAAATTTTGCCATTCCATTTCAGTAATTTAGTAATTGTGTTGCTTTTGCTCTGGGGCACTCTGGGAATGGGGAAATCGTTAATTATCTCCTGTGGCTAATAGCCACAAGGAAAATTTTCAAGGGGAAAATAATGAAACATTCTCAATTACTGTCAAGACTGATATTAAGGAGTAAAAAGTAGAAAGCCACTTTAAAACAAGAAATTCAAAGCTATCTGAATTCTGCAAGGAAAAGGAGCAGAGAAAACATCTGGAGGTCTAAAAAAAAAAGTCACAAAGCCCCTGCTCCTCATTCTGGACTATTCTATTCTATCTTGTGCCTTCCTAGCCAACCTCTTCCTGTTACCTCACAATTTAGTTACAGACTGGGATTTTAATCCTGATAAGAAAAGCTGTTGTGCAAACACATCTGTTTCTAGGCTACAGAATGTGTTCTGCTCCCAAACCCTGAACTACCAACCGCCACTTTTCTTTCCTTGAGAAAAAGGACTCATTGAGAAAAAATTCCACCAGTGTGACTGTAGGGAAAGAATTCATCTCCAGAAGAGTTCAGGACGCTCCCAGACACACACTCTGGCCCTCAGGCACCTGGCTGCGCTGGTAAAGCATCTGGTGAGACAGACCCAAAGGAGAAAGGCAGGAAGGAGGGGGGGGGGGTTGGACAGCCTAGGACTGGAGACCAATAACAGGGTTCAGATTAATCCTCAGCACGTCAATTATGGGGCCTGAAAGCCTTCCGTTATGGGCTCCAGGAAGTCCTTAGGGCTAAATGATAAATTGCAAACGTCACCACCCAAACTTAGATTTTTAATTCCCGGAGATCTAAAGCCTCAGAGGAAGGGTGTGGCCAATCTGCAGTTGCTGCTATTATCCACCAGGGGGAGACCACCAGCTCCTCCCTACCCCCTCCTCGTCCCTCCCACCCCCGCACAGGGGATTACTGCAGAGTTGCTAAAGGAAAGGAGAATTCAGCACAGGGTTTGAGTTCCCTTCTCTTCCTGGTGCAATCACAGCTTTGGTCCAGTTCTGTAGGTGCCATAGAAACTGTGAGAGTGGCAACATGAGAGTTCCCACATCAATCTTCCCGGTTTGAAGTGACAGAGAATTTCCACCAGCCATTCTTGTAGGTGTTAGTGGCATTTGAGAAGTAAAAAAAGTTTGCAAAGGTCAAGAATTAAAGAAAGGGGTTTGGAGTCAGAGATGCTAGGAGTGTGTCTGCCATGTCAGATCCCTTCTTGTGCCTCAGTTTCCTCACATGTATGATGAATGGTTTCTAACTTTCAAAGGTGAAATCTGCTTTTGAACAACTGAAGAGTTCTCAGCTCTCCTACCACACACACAATAATAACTATGCTTTTAGTTTTCTTCTAGAAAATGAGTGTCCCAGGAATTCCATACAGCTCTAAAAGTAGCCTCACATTTCTTTCATCACAGTCAGCTTTCTATGTTCTTGGAAAGCAGTAACTTATTTACTCTGGACAATGCTTGGTGACCAAATGGACATGTGGACATTAGCTATTCATATATTAACCCATATGTTCTAAAATTATCAATAAATTCTGTCATCCTCATTCTCGGTGAGTCAGCTACTCTCAGACAAGCCCCCTGTCTCCATATTTACCCCCATAAATTTCACTAGCAATAAATATGTGGAGAGGTGTGAGAAAGAAGCTCTCAGAATTTGGCTTTCTGTGGTTGAGTTGGGCCTGGTAGCCCCCCCAAAAATGACACACTCTTTTCAGAATCGTGACTCAAAGTGAAGAGAGAAGATTCTCTAGAGTCTTTCAATAGCTAACCCTTTGCATTTTACTGAACTCTCAATTTTTTTCTCCAAAAGCAAAAATGTCCCGCCCTACCGAGACTGAGCGGTGCATCGAGTCTCTGATTGCAGTTTTCCAGAAGTATGCTGGAAAGGAAGGCAACAGATGCACTCTCTCCAAGACCGAGTTCCTGACCTTCATGAACACAGAACTCGCTGCCTTCACAAAGGTACTGGGACTGGGACTAGGCCTGGCTTTGGCTGCAGTCGCTACCAAAAAGCCAAAAAGCAGAGACAGGAATTGAATCTGTGAGCGCTTTGAATTGTTGTTCATTGGTCCATGAGAACCCAGGGACTGTTCTGCCATCTCTCAAGCTGGCCTCAAACAGCCCATCAGAACAGCCTGTCATGGTTGGTGTTCTTGGTGCTCATCATATTCAGCCCCTAGTTAGTTATCAGCTTCTTGGTTATCTTGACCCTGGTACATCCTGGCCTGTGTGGCTTATTTCTGATGGTGTCAATGTCCAGCGTTCATTCGAGGCATCATCAGGGTGGGATTCTCAGTTCAAAGCAAGAGTTTTAGTTAAAGCAAACATATCATCATTTGTATGTAGCGCAGCCTCTGCCAGGGGTGGATGTGCAGATATGCCAGGTTTGGTGCCCTCCCGGCTCCCTGGCCTCATCAATACTGTTTTAGCCCCACCCCCACACTAGCCACATCCTGAAACCAGGCCCTGGCAGGATGGCTAGGAATGAAGGACCAGCTGCTGAGCCCCCCCACTCCAAGTGTGGGGGTCCACATAGCAGCCCAGGCTGGGCCCCTGAACCTCAGAGTGAGCCCCCAATGACTGAAAGGGTCTTTTCCATTTTCATTGTATAAGGTATGTTTTCATGATCAAAGTTCTCAAACTCCGTGACACAGAGATGGTGATTTGCTTTTTTCCTTTCAGTGGGGGGCACTTGGTAAATGACTTGATAGAAGATTTTTCAAATTGTTTCTTCTCCCCCAGAGCCTCCAGGGCAGCCCTGTCTGCAGAGATGGAATAATGTTCAGTCTCTGCGCCATCTGGCATAGTAGCTGCCAGCGCGCATGCCTGTTGCCTCACCAGCCACAGATGCAGTCACAGGACAGACGCGCCCAGTCACTTGGTTGAAGTGTGCAACCAGTGACGAGAAGTGTATGTCCTGGAGGCGTGGATGAGTAAGGGCTAGGGCCGATTAGCAGGGTCTGTGTCCTCTTTTCCCTTCAAATCTCTCTACCTTTACACAGCTTATATATTAGAGTTGATGCAACACTTGAAAAAGCATTCCACTGTTTGTGCAAAGTCAAAGAAGGCATGACTGTCACACAAAGAACCTGGGACTAAAACCTGGCTTTACCTATCGCCCTCCTTAGCGAGTCACTTTACCCTTTTTAGTCTGTTTCTGTGTCTGGAAAAGGAGCCCATGAATAACCCCTACCTGGACCTCATACTCGTGTGAGAGTAAAATGTAGAAATGTATTTGAAAGCATCTTAGAAAGTTCAACGTGAAGGTGCCAGTATTGTCATTATTGTTCCTATCATCTTTGCAGAACCAGAAGGACCCAGGTGTCCTTGACCGCATGATGAAGAAACTGGACCTCAACTCTGATGGGCAGCTGGATTTTCAAGAATTTCTCAATCTCATCGGGGGCCTGTCCGTAGCCTGCCATGAATCCTTTATGAAGTCTACCTGTTGCCAGAAGTAAATCTGAGGAGCCTATCGGCCTGGCCTCCAGACCCCACCTCCCGTCCAGCCCCCCCAGGCCCCCCCAGTTCCTCTCCTCACAACCCATACACACCCTGAACCAATGTGCCCTCCACCCCATGCAGGCCATTCCTGCTGGTAGTAATAAAGTAATACCAGGTTTTGTTTTTTAACCACATACAGGAGAGTCTGTAAATGTGTGCATGGGAAGAGAAAGGTGGGAGGAATGTAAATTAGATGGTAGAAGCAGTTACCAGAAACTGCAATATAAATAGTATAACTGGCTCTTGGGTGTATGCAGTCATGACTCATGACCCACTGAGTCACCTCTCAAGTCTTCATGCTGGTGGAGATGTCACTCGGCATTATTCACTCCGTCAGGCACTGTCTCAGGCTCTGAGGACACCATCTGCAAGACTGACAAGGCCCTGCCTTCCCTGGGCTTACCTTCTAGTGGGGTCTGGGAGGGGAGGGGGAGGGGTGGATGGAAGCAAAGGACCCAGGCAGTAGGACAGGGCCTTGGCGGGGACTCCCTAGGTGGTGTATTCCACGTGAATAGGGGCTGCAGAGCACACTCTTGTGATAACATCTGTGCTGAGAACTGAGGGATGCAGAGGAGCAAACATTTCAAAAGACAAGAGGGCATTTGAGGAAGAGGAACAAGGATAAAGGTCCTATGGTGGGAAGGTGGGTTGGAGGAACAGAAACGAAGCTAGTCTCACTCTGGTTTGGGCTAACTTCAACAAAGTCAGATTTTCTAAACCCTCAGGAAAGAGCCTTGATGGGCGAGAAGCCTGCTGCAGGGCTCAGGCACAGCTTAGAGGAAGAGCAGCCGTCTCAGCCAGTGCTCAGCCCTGTGCAGCACAGGGAAGTGTGACGTCCCTGGGAACCACTGTCCTTGCCATGAGTTTTGACTTTTTTTTTTTTTTTTAAGATTTTATTTATATGCATACAGAACTGGGGCACAGGCCAGAGGTGCAGGGATGGTGAGAGGATTCACCAGAGACAGAGTGGGGAGCAGAACAGGCAGATGGATGAAGTACACTGCTAAGGGGAACAGCAGGCTGGTCAGGGGAGGTCTGCCACGCCATGTGGGTCACCTCTGGGGCGGGGATCGAACTCACACTGAAGCAGCTGCAGCCAGCTTTGCAGTGCTGTGCTCCAACCTACTGTGCCACCAGTTTTAACTTAGTAAAAATTTCTCTATCAGTTTCTTCCTCATGTATCAATCGGACCACTTGAGACTACTTTTTGGCTCACATTTCACAATGAGGGCCAGTGCCCCAGGCTAGCAAGTCTCGGATTTTTCAAGTGCTCTGTCAATCAATGGCTACTTCTTGGATGAGTTCTTAGTCCATCAACATGGGATGCGAGGGAGCGGAGCACCTGTAAACAGTTAAAAGTCTCCAGCTTCTACCCTTGGCAAGTACTCCTGATATAAAAGTTAAAAATAACTGTAAAGTATCATTACCCCCAAAAAAGCAGTAAGCCTGGGAATGGAGGGGGAAATATCAATTGTACTGGTGCATTTGCTGTTCTACCAAGAGATCACTGCCACCCCTCACCCCCCATACCGCTCCCATCCCGGCTTAAGATTCCAGGCTCAGGGAACTGACTAGAAATCTACTTGCTTGACACATGTTAGTTTTCCTAAGAAGTGAAATCGGATCAATACCATCCTAATTCAAGTACTCCACAGAGTACCTCTACATGCAAGGTAAATGAAGGAGAGAGACACAGGAGAAACTGCTGACAGGGAAGGGAGGAACAGCTCAGTGAGGGGGTGTTGTACTTAAAGAGCCATTAAGGGTTGTGGTTGGCAATGCCCAGTGGGCATCTATAATTGAAGTTCAGAGAGAAAGCCTCGCTTGAAAAGCAGGGGGAGGGGCCCCTACCGTCCACTGGGAAATGAGCACTGCAAGAGGAAGAAGACTGCAGAGGAGAATGTAGGAAAGTATAAAAGGGAAGGGGAAGAAGCAGCAGTGCTGCCAGGGAAAGTGGGGTTAAGAAGGCGGCACAACCCCCCCTACCTGGAAAGGATGCCTGCACGGGGGTGTTTCTTGCAGCATTATTTGCAATAGGTAAGATAAGGAAACAACCGAAATGCCCCCAAACAAATAACTGGATCAAAAAGATGTGGTGTATATACACACGGTGGAATACTATTCAGCAATGAAAAAGATAACCTCATGCCATTCACAGCAACATGGGTGGGACTGAAAGGGAGATACGTCAGAAGGAAAATGAAAAATACCGATGGTTTTGCTAATAAGTGGAGAGTAGGGGAGCCAAACAAAGGTTCGGGGAAAAGACAAAACTGGCAAGCTGGCCATAAACCTGAGGTAACAGCAGGGGAGGGAAGAGCACCAGTGCCTGGGGTGATGTGCCATGGGTGCTATGGTGGTGGGAGAACAACAGGGACTACACCTGAGGAAAGAAATCAGAGACAACAAAAATGAACAGTGATGTAAGAAAATTAATTTTTTAAAAAAGAAGGCAGCTCATGCAGAAAAGTGGAACAAAAACAGAGAAGATTAGCGTGATCCCTGCACCAGAATGACAAGCAAATTTGTGAAGCATTGAATTTTGTTAAAAAATTTAGGGCCGG